TCCCTGCTGAGACAAAAATAATATAACAGTGTTAATACACAGTGAGATTATATATATAAAAGAGTAGAATCTTTTCACACGGGTGTAACTTTAAAAATTCTTGTATTTAATTTGAACTATTTATTTAATTTAAATAAAATAAATTATAATTTATTATTTTATTAACTTAAATAAAAAGATTAAATTGAGTGACATCTTTCTTCGATTCATCTCTTCACCGATCAAAACTTGGACCTTGGACATAAATTCTTAATTATATATATATGGAGGAAAACTGTTGTAAGTTAAATTTAGGTACTTCAGTGATAGACAAATTATAAGGTAAAAGATATCCAACTCTATTCTCCTATTTGTCCTAAATTTTCTCATATATCTTGAACTTGGATTTCGGTCATTTCATGCTGTAACAAATGTATTTTGCAGCTCGTCGGCATGGGCCTTGTTTGCTGGTTTCCGTTTGGTTAAGCCCTTTTCCCTAGTTTTGATTAATATTGTATATAAGCCCGTTTTGAATCTGCAACTCTAGTTTAGTCCTAATTTGGAAAAATTATTCAACTATGTCCATATATAATAAATTATTCTCACTATTTAGTTATTTTTCGGCACATATTGAACATTGCACTTTTTTCTATACATAATTCAGCGAGCAATATAGTTGCCAATTAGCTTGTAATGTTCTTTCTGTGCCTCTTTTTCTTTTTTTGTTCTATGGTAGCCTGTGTGCTTATAATGTTATTGTACTACTTATAAACCGTTGTGACATAATTACAACCACACACAAGATCAATAGAATGAAAACTAATTGAAACCATTTCTAAGTAATTCAAATTAATGAAATGATGTATATCATTTTAAAGTTTTTGAAAAATATTTTTGTCAAGTCGAATTCTACAGTTTTAAAACTTTTACACAAGCCCTTAAAAGTCTTTTATAACTATAATTCGACTGAAAACAACAATCTTCAAGAATGCTTGGTTTAAAATACGCAAGTTGAATTGAAAACAGTGCATGACACTATTTATAAAACTATAAAAATAAAAATATGCAGACTCTAAATAGAGAGAATCAAGCATTTTTATAGGTATTATTATTGGCAGCAAAATTATCATAAGTGATTGGTGATCATAAAAATATGACCCACAGTGTTGTCACAGTGTAGTGGGACCAACAAACGTTGGTAACATTGCCGTGACAACGTGACTTGACCGACATAACACTGAACTGAACCCGTGTTGAAATTGGAGACTCATATTATAGCCAATGTGGTTGCGATATGAAAATCTTCTTCTTCCCTGTTTTCAGAGGAAGCCAACTTCTACAATTCCACTGTGAGTGTTTTTCTTCTTCCCCTTTATTTTGTTCTTTCCCAAATGTTTCTTTTACTATTATTTCCCTCCCCCCCCCCCCCCCCCCCAATTTGCAATAATTTATTAACTGTTTTAGAAACATGTGAGGTGTATGATCATAATTAAAGTGAGTTACTGTTGATTTATTTAATGGTGTCAAGCTTAGATGCATATCAGTATTTGAGTTTGGTTTGTATCATTTTCCTCACTATGGCTAGAAGTGTAAAATGAGTTGGCATGAGTCCCATTAATAATATCTTCTAATAAATATTGAATAATAAGGGAAATTAAAAGATAATTTATTCTTGGTGAAGTAGAATCACCATTTGCATTTACTGTCTTGCTAGAAGACCATCGAATTTACCTTTTCTCAAGTTAAAAAAATTGTGTAAAATGAGAAAGTGAGCATTTATTTATCTTTAATTTAAACATTAATTTTACGTACTAAATGCTTAAATTCAAATAAATGTGTATAGTTTCTCACTTGACATGTTTTCTCATTTTAGAAGAGCTAAATCCGTAAACTATAGTACTAGAATACTAGTACTTTTTGGTTGCAACTACCCATAGCAGCTTCTTTAGCACCTTTAACTTTTCTCTTCACTACCAACCAGAACTTGTGATTGTATCATCATTGTGTGGAAGCAAATCATTTACTTCAGGGAATAAATAAGATGCTATTCATATAGCAAAAGTTTGGTGGCATAGTTTTTATATTAGCTGGAAAACGTAAACGTATGTTCATATTTCATTGAACCTCTTTGAATAGTAACATAGTTTACCAAAGCAGGATACAATTCTTAAAGAGCTCTTCTTGGCTGTTGGTTTATCTAATATAAGTATCTAACTTTGAATAGCCGATGCAGGATCCTAGCTAGATACTATTTTATGTAGTTCTATTATTGCTTTTAACTACCAATACTTTAGCATATCTTGACTATATCTTCAAGTTTCTAATCCTTGCACATTTTTAAGTCTACATTGAATACTACTTGTTCACAATTAATATTCTACAGTTATCTTTCTTTATAATGTTATTCTGTTTCTCTGTCATTTATAGTGATTTTGTGGTTTATAAGCATGTTCCATTAGGAAATGAGATAACATCATTGCAACCTGCTTGTCTATTATTAGAGTGATGAACTTAAGCCTAATGATGATTTTATGTCCCTCTCACAAATCCAAAGCAGCTGAGGGAGTCATTTATTTGTGACGCCGTGAATGCGGTGGTGGTGGGGTTCGAGGGGCTTCACTGGATCCGCCGATAGAACGGCAAAGATGTGGCAGAAGGAGAGTGAGGGGAGGAGGAGAATGAAGCATGTGTTGGAAAGATTTTTGTTGGAGCAAGAAAGTGCAGTGGCCGCGCTAGTGATGAACTGGTGATGCGCGGTGGTTTACGGCGGGTCTTACAAAGGGGCAGTGAATTTTGGGAATGCAAGAGGGGGAAAGTAGCGGATTTTTGTCCAACGTGACAACTACATAGAGAGTTAACCGTGAGATTGGATGGAAAGGTTTTTTTCACACTATTAATGCTCAATTTAAAAACTCAGTTGTAAATTGCACAGAAACAAAAGTATAAGGGTAAAGTACAAGTTTTTCGAAACTAAATATAAAACAGGTTAACATACCATGGAAAGGTTTTCCGGATAGAAATCCTCTTTTCTTTTAAACAAAAAATGACAAAAAAAAAAAAAAAACTTTGGCAAAATTTACCTAATAGAATTTAGAATTTGCTTTCTCATGAAAGGGAAGGAAGAGAGAATTGAGTGTGGGAAAGAGAGAACTAGAGGATGAAGGAATATGGGAAGAGGAGGTGGTATGGAGGTGGAGGAGTTTAACACGAGGAGAAGAGGAGAGAGATAGGTATGAAAGTGGGAAAAGGAAGGAAAAATTTATGTGAGGGATCAAGATTCTTTCATTTTTTGGCAGGAACATGACTTTCGTGTGTCTGTATTTTTACATTTTTATTTAAGTAAAAAAATTATTCGTTTAAGCGAAAATACAAAAAACACAGAACATAAAAGTCATATAACAAGAGAGATCAAGTTAAATATAAAGAAAAAAAGATTAAATATAAAGATTCAGAAAGAGTATTGAACATGGAAATAGAGATGAGTGAAAATAGAAATATAATAAAAAAAAATGCGAAATTCGTTAAAATAAATTTTACATAAATTTTAAAATAGATTAATAAAAGACTTGCTATTATTGTACATTAATTAATAAACTTTGACTATGAAAGTATATTTTGTGTAGCTAATAATAATAAAATGTGTTATTTGCTAGGTAGTTCAAATAACAATTAAATTTTATTTCATTTCTTTAGATGAAATTGGTTACATGAACTAAATCTTTGAACTTAGCTTAGTTACAATAGCTAACCTAAAACTTATCGAAACTTATACATGAATCACTCATGACATGTTAAGTGGATCATGTTTGTAAAAAATATTATTACTAAGCAACAGTTGAGCTTCATGCTCGTATTTTATCCTTTGTTTTTATTTGAACCATATTACTAAAAATGGCTTTTTAAGGTGAGAAATAGAGACAAATCTTCCCCAGTTGTGTTTTACAGAGCTAAGTAAAGATCACTGAAATTGTATTGATTAAGGATTTGTGCACTTTTCATTGTAGCTTCTACCATTATTCTAGCCTGATTTTGAAATTCTTACAAGCTGTGGGTTGATTCTAATTCCAACCGTCATGGTTTATGCAATGGTGAGATGAGCCAGATAACATTCTACAACGACCACAGCAGTTCCCACAAATGCTTCCTTTCCTATAGTTAAGTTCTCTTGGAAGTGTTCCTAACAAGTAACAATACCAGTTCTCGAGAGAATTGAACCACCTCATGGCTATTATGAAACACATCTATATAATATTATTACAACCTAGCAAGGGGCCCATGAAGAAGTAACTTCTTAATAAATTCAATGGGATAGGCAATGAAGTGATATCCAAAAATATCAAACTTTTACTACAATTGTTAGATACCATGTCAATTATAGACATAAATGAGCAAGAATAGTGCTTTCCTGTTTAGGAATTATTGAGTATGATACATGCTTTGCTTTTGTAGAAAGCAATGTAAAATAAAAGAATTGCATTTGAAAAAAAAAAGCCTTTAGTCCTTTGCAATATATGAAAGAACAGAATGGGCTTAAATCTTGAACTTCCAATGAGATAGGAAACATACAAGGGAAATCTTCTAATATCCCAACCTAACTAATGTCTGCCCGTAATATTCTTCTGTATGATATTTGATTGCATCATCTTTGTAAAGGAAATTATTGACTAGGTTTCATAACCACAAGATAAATTAACTAGTTAAATGATTCACAATCAGAAAATCTACTGTCATGATTCATGAACAAACTAAACATGTATACTTTGGAGATTGGCATTTAAAAAAGGTTCACATTTCTATTTCCATCATTGAAAAATAAATTTTCCTTATGCTGCAAGTATGAAGCATTTTGTCTACATAAAAAAATTTCAGTTTACTTTGGATGATCTATAATGTCATTCTCCTTAAATCAACCAAAACTGTGTTTTCATGTATTTAATAAATGACTTCTCTATTTTTCTGACAGACGAACTCAGAAATTAAACCTGGACTTGGCTATGGTCAACAGCTCATGCAGTGCCAACCTAAGAATGCAAGGTATGACTTCTCTTTTTGATCAACCAATATCCAAAACCTCCAACAAGAAGTAGAATTATGAGTCCATCAACCCCTCCAGCCACAATCAACACCCACCTTTTTACATTATGCCGCTCATGATTTCTAACTGATCCCTTCGGAACCTTAACCATATATCTAAATCCTGTGGCTTTATCTACCTGTTTTAGACCCAGGACTAGTCTGTATAGATAACACTCAGTCACATCTGTGCTTGCATTACCAAAATAAAGAGCAGCAGCACATTTACAGTCCTGTAAGCACAAATTTGCACATGCTTTTTGGCTAATATTGACCATTTTAGGAACATTTTTAAGCACACTACTTACATTATCTAGTTCAAGCATTTCTGCCTTTTTTCCATTGCAAAACCCCCCAGAATTTTGTGCGCTGCAATCAGCACCACCCTTTTTTTCATCTGTCAAAAGCTGAAGACATGAGCAAGTATTGGAGAATGTACATATCCCATAAGGTCTACAAGCAATGGGAAGGTCACATGTGCTGTTAAGTGCTTGAAAGGAGGCCTCAAACTTTCCTTTCTCAGGTGAATAGTAATAGAGACCAAAGTTTCCTGTTTCATTCTTCAATGCTAGAAATCTTAGTGGGTGAATCCCCTGCAATGGAATTTGTGCTATTTTCTTGTACTTGACATCAAATAACACCAACCCTCTTGAACTTAGCTTAACATATGTAATACTTCTATCCATGGAAGGCTGAAAGTCCCAGTAAGAATACCTCAAATTGTCATAGTTCAAGTACAAAGCAACCCTCTTGTTCTCAATTTCAAAAGAGAAGTATAACGAGCTTGAGTTTCTTTGAAAAGTTGTCAAGCGGGTTGCCACATCAAGTTGCTGGCCCCTGAGCATCACATCCGTTGGAAAATTGAAACTTTGCCATTTTATATTGTTCATTGCATCCACAAGCACTAGATTGCCTGTTCTCAGTATCTGCATTCTCTGCTTCAAATTAAGTCAATGCAACAAATCATGTATTAGACTCTATGCAATGCAGCTTAATTGACTATGAACAATAGTGCTGAAGTTTTTCTTTTTTCCCTCAAGTCTCAAAAATTTAAAATCAATGGCTGAAATTTTTTCACTGGTCAGTTTCCACACAGTTAAAAGAACACATTATGCCACTCGATTATTTATTTATTTTGTGAGAATTAAGTGAAATGATAATTTGAGTAAATATCATTTTCCAATAATCATATATCTATGCATACTTGTATAGCAAAGTTAACACTCAACTATCACAAATGGTATCTATCATGCATAAATGTTACCTTCACACCTTGTCCAGAAGTCCCAGTTTTCCACCCCACTCTCTCTTTTGGACCCTTCAGCCTTAAATCTCCATCCTTAGTGAGCTCTAGCAAGCATTTCTCAGTGGTGTAAAACCTGGTGTAATGGCCAGAATCCCACACCTTCACATCTCCAAGAAAAACTTCCAATGAGCATGAGTATTTCCCATTGATGGCTTCAATGCTCAATGCCACTCTAAAATTTGGTGCTGTCTGATTGGTCTCCACAAGAAAAGCTCTTCCTTTGAAATTCACTTCATACTCCACAGGGACTGCCACCATGAGTTGGTAGCCAACACCAACACCGGACTCAGAAAGGCCATAATTGAACAAGAGAAAAACAAGGAGGAGAAGAAGCAAAGGGAAAAGCTTCATGAGTGGCAACACCATCAAGTTTTCTTTTTTCGCTTTTAGAACTAGTTTTTGATTGTTTTTGGAGGTGGGTTTGGAGTGTGATGGTGTATTGAGGCCAGAATTGATGAAGGAAAAGGTAAGCATGATTACTGAAACTCTGCAAGACCCACCTCACACCTTCCACTGCCAAAAAGGATTTGAGATTTCATATTGCTCAATGCCTTAAACAATTACATATGAATCCATCATGTGGTGGGGTTGCTGATTACAAAATTGGGCACAAGAAATTGTTGGTATTCTATTCTCTTCCACAATCTCTTCTCCAACTTTATGATGTAAAAAAACATAAAAGTAACGCACCATTTACATGGCTGGACACAGACTTGCCCATGTGAGAGATTTTAAAGCGTGTTGAGTTGTGAGTAAATTATGGTATTGATTCCTTCCAAGTTCAAATTTTTGGTATAACATTAAAACAAATTTCTAATTTTTACATTGAAGTTGTCTTTTTCCTAACATAAAAGAATCGGGCATTTATGAGTCCTTTACCAAATTAATGGTTATGCAAAACAAATTAATATTAATAAATTATGAATTTAATTTTTATTTATTGCCGGTGCCTAACTTTCTTTATGTTATCATCTTATTATTACTGTCACTTTGAAAAAAATTCATCTCTGGATACAATCTGTTACAGGCAAAGTTTTTTTTAGTAAAAGCATGATAACGTATCATTAAATGATGAATAAAAATATATAGTCTAAAAAATATTGATGGACCTTAGCCAGAGTTTACTAAAATTATTTAATAAATTAAAAAATAGTAAATACCGCTAACTCTTAACAATCAATAACGCTGTACTATTATTAAATGATGAATAAAAATATATAGTTTAAAAAATATTGACCGACCTTAGCTAGAATTTACTAAAATTTAAAATAATCAATAAAATAAAAAATAAATAGTAAATACCACTAGAGCTTAAGAATCAATTATAACTTCAATTCATTTCATCAAAGGAGAATTTGCTATTAGACACTAATGAACGTCTTCTGACACTAGTAATCTTTGTATAAAAGAACTTAAAAGATGTGGAACGTAGTTAAATTCAAAATTGAAAAAAAATTGGGGTGGAGGTTGTAGATAAATATTAATAAATATTAACGGACTTTTCTTGTGACAACATTTTTTTAGCAATTTAATAAGATAAATATTAATTAGTGTCTGAAATTTAAGCTTATTAATTATTATATACAAAAATAAAACTAGTGAGCATTAATCCAGAGTTGAGATTTTGTAGCAAAGATAAATGTGGGGTTAGAAGTAAGAAAAAAAAAAAAATCACCGACACATTTTTTTAATATATTTATTGCTTAGTTAAAATTTATTAAAAAATATAACAATATGAGAAAAAATTATTAAATTAAGAGTGAGAAAAAATAAAATTTATATAATGTTTATAGTTTTAATAAATTTTAATAATAACAATAAATATATTTAAAAAAGTTTACTGATAAGATTAGTCAATGGAAATTGAAGGGCAGTGAGTGGGTTACGTTGAAGTGTTGAATTGACTTTGAGCGTGGGTGACCAGGATACTGATGTGGGACCCAATCCATGTATTTGTGTTGGTTCAATTGAGTGCCATTTTGAAGTGGGCATGCAAAGTGTCCTCTGAGGTTTTGATTGGTCCTACGAAATTGGTCCCTTCCTCTACAATTGACACGTCATCATTAAATCCTTAAAGCCACGTGTTCCACTGATGCTGCTGACACTGCTCTTACGGTTGGATGACATGTTTGGTTCCAACTTCCAAAGCCTCCACGGCAGGGGAAGTGTTTGTGTCCTCCCAATTACAGATTCTTTCTCGTCCCCTTCATTCTTCTTAGGGTGATTTTTTAAAAAATATTTTTCTTATTAAATTGGTTTAAAATATTATTTTTTACTTTTTACTGGTTTAATTGTAATTGTAAGTTATTAATGAATTGATGGTAATTAAATGCACGTTAATATTTTAATATACTAAATAAACTATAAAATATGTCTGTGTGTTGTACGGTTTATTTTTTATTACATTAATTTATTTTAAAATATAAAATATATAATTTAAATATAAAAAATATATAAATATAATAAAAAATTTGTCAAAATAAATTATTGTTCAAAATATGTATAATTTAGTATTTTTTAACATAAAATAAAATAATATACAAATATTTTTATTTTTAAAATATAAAAATAAAATTTATATTATTTCATGATATCATAAATCATTTATTATTATAAAATTTAAATCAATAATTATAAAAATAAATTATTAAATATAACAAATTTGTTAATATATACTATAAAATTTAAATAAAAAGTCTTATAACTTTTTATTTATATATTTGTTTATATTTATTGAATTAAATTTATATGATAAACTATCTATTTATAATTATAATTTAAAATTATTAATAAAATTCTACTTACATGATATCATGTTTTTTAAAAAGAACTTATCAGACTAATATATAAAAAATAAAATATTTATTTATCTAATGTATGAAATTTTAAAAATTGCCTTGAAATATCAATATATACAAAACTATATATTAATATTTAAAAATAAAAATATATTAAACTTTTTATATATAAATAAAATTACCATACAGAAATATTATAAATAAAAATTAATAATCATATAATATATATACCGCATTTGGAAATTTACTTTTTGATAAAAAAAAATAGGAAATTGAGTTTTCTTTTTAAATAATTAAATTATTTTATATTTTTTGATAATCTAATAGAATTAATATTGATTGACATTATAAATAAATTAATTTTATTTAATAATCAATTAAGTACAATAAAATTATGTTATTTTGATCATAAAATTAAAATAATAAATTTATTAATTTTTCTTATATATTTATTTTTTAATTTTTGAAAATAATTAATACAGTTTATTTATTATTTATCATTTTAATTAAAAATTAATAAAAATAAATATATTTATAAACTAATTTAATAATGAAATAATATTTTAAAAAATTTATTAAAAGAATAAGTATTAATTTAAATAAAATTTAAAAAATAAATTTAAAATGCTATATAAAAGGAAACACATAAATTGAACTAAAAATAAGTAAAAAAAATATTATTATTAGGTCTCTAATTATTTTAAAGATATATAATATAACTTTAATATAAATACATTAAAATATTATATTACCATTAAAAAAATAAATGTGTTCTAACTATTTTGATGCAAATATAGTAAATTAGATATTTGATTTTTTTTTTTTAGATATATTGTTTTGTCAATTTTTCATACGTTATCTAATTCTATAAAAAGAGGTTAATATTTAGTGAACTTGATTTAATTTTTTTAATTAAAAAAATATATAATTTAAGAATATAACATAATAAATAATTATATTAATAAAAAATTTATACTGATTTCATACTTTTATGTATAATATCTGCATTTTAATTTATATCTTGAAAACTAATTATAAATTCACAAAATGACTAAATTTTTTCATTATGAAGCACTCTTCTTTGCGTTTGTAATTGAATGTTATCATAAAAATTTTCAAAAGCATTAGAATTTATATTCCAATCTAAAAATTTTAAATAATCATATAGTTAGAATATAAAATTTTAATAAATAAATATAATTTGATATGTTAATATAAAAAATATTTTCATAACATTTTAAACACTACTTCTATTTTTCTTGTGTTTAAAATCTTTTAATAATTGTAAAGATTTAGACTTCATACTCATAAAATTTTAAAATAAATAATATATATATAAATTAAATATAACATTTAAACTTAATTCAGAATTAAAACATTATATTTTCTTTACTTATTCATTCATTATGATATAAAATTATTAAATATGAAAATAGAACAGTTAAATCATATTCATTTTTGTTGTTATGATATTTAGTAATTTTTAATTTATTTTAATTATTATAATTAATTAGTTTTAATTGAAGAGTTTTAAATTTATCATAATTATTATAGCATTTTATAAAAAGTATTGTAACAAAATAATTAAGTATGAACATTGTCAATTTTTTAATTTAAAAAAATTAAATTTGTCATCATAATTATTATAATATAAAATATAAATAAAATATTATCTATGTTAATAGGTTATACATAATTTTGATATATCAATTTCTATTACATTATTTTCTAAAAAAATTAAAATAATAGAAGAGAAAGAAAGAGTAGTTAAAAATTTTCAATTAAGATTTAGGTAGAAACTAAAAGAGAAGATTTGTTGTATTTAATACAAAAATTAGTTTTTATATCAATTAAATTTATAGATGTTGATATAATATAAAATTTATGAATCACATATAAGATTTGTCTAAGAACAAAGTTAATACATAATATATATATAATAATAAAATAAGATATATATATATATATATATATATAATAAAATAACAAAATTATTTTATTAAAGACTTAAATAACAATATTAAAAGTATTTATATAATAATGCAATAAAAATGGTTTAATCTTCTAAATCCTTTATTGTTGTCTTTTGTTCATAATTTTTTGCTTCGTCTTCTTTAAGTTACAACCTAAAAGAAAATATCAAATATAAATTACTAATCTAAGAAATTTGAACAATACATTATAAATTTATAATTTATACAATAATTTTCTCATTTTTTTTTTTAAAATTTGGTGTTTCTATGATTAAAGATATAGATGAATAACTTATTACCAAATCATTTTCTTTTATTTTTGCATTTGTATTGTCTACACCTTCTTCTTTCTCAATCTGTAAATATAAACAATGAAAATAAAGTTATTCATCATTGTATTATTCCAATTTAATTTTCTATATTACCTTCATTATCGGCTTCACAATTTATTTGTAGTGAAACTTTATTTTTCATGACTTTCAAAGTAAGTACTTATTTTTATTTGAACAATACGTGAAGTGTCAATAATCTTTAAAAAAATTATCACATAAAAATAGTTATATGTTTTAATATATTTTATTTATAAAAAGTTAGAAATTAACACATTTACTTACAATTTCAGATGTTGCAATAAAATTTGTTAACTTTACTTGTGCTAATTATTCAACAACTTCATCAAATAAGACAAATATAGTTGAATCTG